ACTAGTCAATGGCAGCACTCACTAGCCATTGGGGCCAGCGTGCCCGCTGGTCCCAAGGCAGTGGCAGTGCTCAGCTTTGTGATCAGCCAGCATTCCATTCAATAGTTTCATTTTTGCTCCTTTGCTTGGTTTCAGGAAAAAGGAAGAGAAAGGAAGAGCAAGAAAAGCGAGATAACACGAATGGAAACAGAAACCAGAAAGACACCAAAGATGCCAAATCTGGCACCAAGAAAAGGAAAGGCCAGCAGAGAGGGACTGTGGTCCCCATGACTCCTGCTAGCCCTGCTCAATAGCTGCCCCTTTACAGTCACATGATGGCAAGAGTTCATTGCTGCTATGTATATGAAAGCTTTATCGAACCGGAGCACTGCTACACAACATACACAATCAGAAAGATAGACGGACAGACACAGAAACTACACATACACATAAAGACTGACAGAGACCACACACATACGCAACACAGACTGCAAAGCGCAAACTTCTAAGAAGAGGAGTAAGAAAATATAAGAGATGAAGCTTAAATGCCAAGGTCTTTACAATGGGAAGCTGGGGAGAAAGTGTGACCAGAGTGGAGGGCAGTGATGCAGATATTCCTGATTAAATGTCTCAAATAGAAGTCAGCCATGTAAACCCCAGCATAACGCAGCTTCAGCCAGAGACTAGAACTGATTTGCTACTATTCCAAATCAAAGGATCTGGAATCGCGCAAAGGCAGTGGCCTGTTTCTATTCCCCCTTCCTTTATTTTGTGTTTTAAGCTGTAAGAGAATATATGTTAAACCTTTGTGAGAAGAGGTCAGAGATGTCTGCCCTGAAATGGCTTCAAAAATTTATTTCAAATTAAAAAAAAAATCCAACAAAATGACAGCCAGATTTCCGAGCGTGTGGTTTATGGCTCAGCCCCCGCAGAGGCTGCTGGCCCGTGGGGCAGGGCCTCGCTTGCAGAAGGAAAACTCATAAGAGCTTTAAGAAAATCTCAGAAAATGTTGCCAGCTGCATCCTAGCCACAAATCAGTTGTCCTTCACTTTCACAATCCGTGTCTGTGCTCAGTAAGCCCTGTCGGGAATTTCCCATCATGCAGCAAGTTGAGAAAATGAGAGGTTACAGCCAACCACAGGTTGTTTGACGCTGCGATTCTGACGACAGTCGCAGCTGAAAGGATTCTGTGCTCAACCGAGGAAGGTGCTGGTCCCTTTGTCCAGACTCCTCCCAAACCTCATGGAGAAAAGCCATGCACTTCAGTCTCTGCAGGGGGAAAAGGGTGCAGAACCTTTACATCCATTAGAAAACCATTCATCTGCATGTCGCCAGTTGGACTGGCTTAGAATTAGCACCAGCACTCTCTAGGTCTCCCCACTTCTTAGCAAAGATTTAATCCCCTGGGTGAAATTCACCACTGTGCAGCACAGGGCTTCCCAGAGACTGAAGCAGCCACACTCTGTGCAGCCGCTGTGCCCAGGGTGGATTTTACCCAAAGCACTGTAATGAGGCTGCATAGTACTCAGTCTTATCCAGTGGTGCAAGTAGGGAGGTCCGGTCCGGTACGCCGTACCAGTAAGCTATTTATAGCCGGTCCGCCGTACTGGAAGGACACAGGAGGAGAAGAACGGCGGCCCCACACCGGCAGCTCCTCCAGCGCGGCTGTACTGCCCCTAGCCCTTCCACGCAGCTGCGTCTAGCGTCTCCTGTCTGGGGTCTGTAGGCAGCCCCGCCGGAGGACAGGGCTGGGGGCGGTACAGCCACACCGGAGGAGCTGCCGGTGTGGGGCCGCCTCACGTTCTGCACCTTTCAGCCCTGCGGTTCCAGAGAGCCCTGCAGTTCAGAAGTCTCCGGCGCAGCGGGAGGAGGACAGAGCGCAACCCAGGTAACGTGGGATGAAGCATGTGGAGGGGAAGGGGAGAGCGCGGGGCCCCAGGCTGGGGGTCATGTGAGGAGTCACGTAGGGGGTCACATGGGGAGGTCACATGCCCCCCTTTAGCTGGTGCAGCATACCGGTAAGAAATGAATTCTACTTGCCCCACAGGTCTTATCTTTCAAAGTGTGCATCCCTTGGTGTAGATATTTGCAGACCTTTCTTCATCCTTTTAAGATCCAGCCCAAATCACTGCTCCCGAGGGATGGGCCCAGGCGAGCTGCCCTGCCCCACAGGGCAGTATCCTGGGCAAACTGCCCACCCTCCCGGGGGTGTCAGGGGCAAGCTGTCCTGCCCCCAAGGGGGATCAGGGTGAGCTGACCTGCCCCCTTCCCCCCGCTGATCCCTAGCACTCAGCAGGTTTTTGGTTATTACCATTAATATTACACCTCTTTTGTTCCTGCTCTGCTTCCTGGCTGTGGCAGAGTGCGAAAGCAACCAGTGCTTCTAAGGGGTACATGCACTGGGGGAGAACTGCCCCCAACACGTAATGTGCTGACGCCTTCCGAGGTCCCACATGGCCACCTGATGCAACTGGCTGCATCTCCTCACACGCTCGTCCTGCCGGCTAGCTGGGAAGAGTGCTGGTTGTATTTCGGAAACACAAGTCCATGCAGTTGCAATTCTAGGAAAAGCTACTGGGATTCTCTTTTTGGCCCACCTGCTCTAGTGCCGTTTTGGCAGGGTTCAGAATGTGGGAGCCGTAGAGTTGTCCCAGTTCCAGAACTGCACCAAGCTCTCTGTGCCTGCCGTGCTGACAGCAGGGCCTTTGGGCCCATCATCCACTTTGTATTTAAGTAAACAAGCAGCCGTTAGATCTTTTCGAGGGGATTCCATTTCAGCACAATGATAAATGAGCAGCATACCAGGCAGAGAGCGCGAGAGGTTCTCAAAACTCGTCTTTTCAACTGTTTATAGATCATGTTTAGATGAATCCTGGAGGAGACCTCCCCAGTTGAAAGACTGGATCTCGCTTTATTTTCTGTTGTCAGCAAGCTGTGAGATAAGTAGCCTGTTTGTATTGCGGCTTTGCACCTAACATGGACCTTTTTCCCTCCAGCTGCTCATCAGCAATATCCAGTAACCCTTTCGGAAGTCTCACTTTGCTAATTTCCACCCCCATCCCCAGGGCCCCAATCCACTCCTCAGCAAAGACTGAAGAGCAGAGAGAGAGGGCATTAACGATTAATGATCATTATATTCCTGATTGTTACCATTCAGGATTCCCTACAGTACAGAATATCCAATATTAGCCTCCATATTTAAAAACTCAGCTGCACATCAAGATAAATCAACCAGGCACATGTGGTGCTGCGGCATCTTTGATTTGCTGTTGTTGTCATGTTTGTTTGTCAGTTACGTGTTATTTCAGAGGAGGAGTGCAAAGTCTAGGCAACACTTCAGTTCCACCTCAGCCCTGTTTTGACATCTTAAGTGTGCATGGCCCTTGTGCGAAACCTGTGCCAGGGAGGATTTTCACTCCAAATTTGTTAACTTGCAGTGGGGCCCTCAGTCATTAGCGAGGGCTGTTGGCAAAGGTTTCCAGTCCTCTCTGCTGGGTTGGGTTGGAAATGGCGGCTTTTCCTGTCAAAGCAATACTTCAACAGAGGTGTCTGACCCTCAAAACTTTCGACACAAATGTCACTCGGATCCGTCTGCTCCATAGCTAGTGCAGGGAGGGGGGTCACCATTAGTGCCAGGTGCATCTAGGCAGCGTCGCCACCTGAGGTTTGGTTTGGATCCACTTAGAACTAGTCGAAATTCTTCAATGGCCTTTTTTTTAACCTGAAAATTTAGCAAAAGAAGTTCATTTTGTGACATTTTGGATTTTTTTTAGCTTTTTTCGTCTCTCTCTCTCCCTGTTTCAGCAGCAAAATGGAAAAACACAAAACAAAAACATTTAGTTTTGAAATTTTTCAGTAAAAAAAATGTGATTTTTTTTTAAATCCATTCTTTTAGAAAACTTTGACAGGAAATTTTTTTCTAAAATTTTTGAAAATGTTCATGATTTTTCCCCATGTGTTTTGCATGTTCATTGACACCCCCAGAGAGCTGGTTTGTGTTTGGGGATTTAAAAGCATTTTGCCTTTAGCCAACATGTTTCCAAGAAGAGGTGCCTGGGCTCAAACACCTGGGGAATGCTTGGGGGTGCGACTGGTCCCAATTTTGGAATTTTTTAGGAGGGCTTCATTCATCTCAGTTCAGTTGCACGTTAATGCTCTCTCAGTGGTGCTGGAACCATTTGTACAGTGGGGGTGCTGAGAGCCATTGAACCAAACTGTAAACCCTGTATATGCTGGAAACCACTTCAAGTCAGTGGGTGCTGCAGCACCCCCAGCTCCCCTAGTTCCGCCACCTATGTGCTTTCTTTCCCTTGACAATACAAAATCTGCTGTGGTGTTCTCTACATGGCATCCCCATAAAACATGCGTCTTAGCAGGCTGTGGGGCTGGTAATTTTTGTTCACATATCGTTCACAAAAATCAGGGTGTGTCTCAAACACGTGGTTCAAAAATATTTACAGAAAGGACAAAACATCTCTTATGAAGCAGTTCATTCTCCACAATTCCAGACAGATTAATGCTTCAGGTATCTGTATGGGTACCTGTAAGGCAACACTATTACCTCTGGATTCTAAAGCTGCATGAATTCATGTCCCACACCTCCACCCAATCTTTTATGGATTTGGAGGAGTGTTCTGTGCTATAGATAGATAGATAGATTAGATTGATTCATGGACATTGTTGAAAGCTCCTTTGGACAGAGATGTCTTTGTTTAAATTAGTGAGACAAAAACACTTTTACTCACGTCAAGTCAATGGTAGTTTTCTTTTCAAAATCTGCATGCATAGCTTCCAGAGATTTTGCTTAGCATTTGGGTAATTTTTCCCAGTTCTGATGGAACTAGAGCAACGGAGAAGGAACAAAATATCACCACTCTACAACCCTCAGTTTTGAAATTGTTTAATTTCTAGCTCTTTTGCTGAGATTTAGGCGCCGAGACAGACCCATCTCACCAAACACAGACTGGTTGTAAGTATTATGCTTTCACCCTCCATGTTTAATATAAATCCAGATTTTCACCTGCCACAGTTAGGTTTAAAATGTGCACACACAGAATCCTCAAATAATAATTTACTAACCTTCTACTCCCATAGAAATGGAGGGAATGTATACATGTTTTAGTTCATGTTTACATTAAAATGATTTTTCACTCAGAAGAGGTCCTGGCTTTGATTAAAGGAAGGATATTCGGATGGTGGCCTAGGTGCTCTTTGATGCTATTATTTGGGTTACGTTGTTGAAGGAGAGCTGAGAGGAGATTTGGCTGATATTGACAGATTTTATTAAATCAATGGACCTCACAGAAAGGGAAGGTAAAACTGAACTCTTTTTTTTTAAATCTCCATTTAAATGACAGAAACCCCAACTTTATACAACCAGTCATCCCAAATAAATCATTCTGATGGTATTTATATACAGGATAATATACTGTACCCAGCTGAATACCACACTACAGTTCAGGCAGAACAGCCTGCCAGCACCCCGCTGGTATCTGAAGAGCAGCAGAGCCCTGGTGAGAACAAAT